CACACAAAGATAACGAACATTAGTTAAAATTGAAGACGCATATAAATCTAACTGAAGAGAGAACTTAGTTACTGTTGAAAATGTTTTGATTTATACAGTAATATAAAAGTTATGACTTTAATAGATTAGTACGAAAACAAATTATGACCACTTTTTCCATATGTTAATGATGTAATTAAGATCTAAAAATATTTGAAGAATTACTATAAAGATAAAATCCATTAAAATCTGAGCTGAAATAATGGATAGAAGTACATAATAGTATTTAACTAAAGTCTTTGAAATTAGACGGAAGATAAAAAAAATTCTAAGATTTTGGCCTAATCGTAATTATACTATTTTAATATTTTGTAAATTTAAAGCAAGATTGAAGATAGTAATACTTTATTTAAAAAATTGTAGGATTAAATGAAGGCTTTAGTACTACCATATTTATGTCAGGGAGTGGAGGCTTTGAGATTAAGAAATCATCCCAAACACTTGGATGAAAATTTGCTAATTGCTGGGCTTCCTTAGGTGGAGGAGAAAGCAGATCGGATTGAAGAGACTCCATTGTTGGTCGCTCCCATAGCTTAGGCATGCTATTTATAAGCTAAAACAAAGGAGATTGGTATTCTTTTTTAAATACTTCAACGTGACTAGCCTGGTTTATTTAATTTTTTTGGAGCAGTTATAGTTGTGTATAAAAGTATAGAATTATTGATTAAGATAAATTTGTTAAAAGGTGTTATGATTAGCTTGTCAACTTAGTGTGCACATTTTAAAGATCTTTGTAATGAGAGATTTATGCAAAACTGTCCTTACAAATTTTAAGGCTTTGATGATTAAATTTTGTACGCAAAGAATTCTACAAATATTCATTTTAGTCACAAATATTTTCACAAATCATAATTTATAAAGTATGACTAACATTTTTTAAATTATAACTAAAAATATTATTAATTTCTCCTATTAAACAAATATTTTTTTTTGAAATTTATATCCAATAAATAGTTTAATTAAAAAATTATTAAAATATCCATATTTTTAACACCATTAAGTCCAACATTATGTAGTTTGGATGTTAGGACAAAAATGATTTTATTTTATGGAGTTGATGGAGCAAAATGATTCTTAAAAAATAGTTGGAGACCATTTAGTCCCTCCTAAGGAATTAATGGACCATTTTGATCATTTTTCGATCAAATATCAAAGGAACATTAGGTCCTCAAAATTTTTTTTGTTCCAACATATGTATGATAGTATTAGAGTTTGTTGATATTTGACGATAGCTCAGTTGACGAATATAAAATGTGTATATGATTTTCATCACATTTAACATTGATATTTGATGTAGCCCTTAATTACATATATCCCAAGGCTTGTAGTAGTGTAGCATGTAGGAGATGTCTAATAAAGATTAGGAACTCTTTTAGATAGTGGTGGATGAAAGGTTGAAGTGAAGTTATGAATGGTGGGGGAGATGGTTTGAGAAGGCTTAGATAAGGCCAAACCTTAGAGCCTGAGTTTTAGTGAATGGGTTAATGATAGGATCAAAGGGGATAAATATTTTGAATAGATAAATGAATGCTTATACTATTATCCTAGAGAAAAGGAGATATTTTATAAATTTTTAAAAAGTGCCTTACAATTTTTTTTTCTTAGAATTTCTTGAGCTAAGTTTTTGTTCATGTTCAACTGTTAATAAATTTTTTTATTAGTAAATCTTTTAATTTTTCCTTAATAAAAATATCATAAATTTTTCTTACCATATATTTATATTTTTTAATATTTTAATTATTGAATTTAGGGTAGAAGATATTTACAAATTAATTGATATATATATTTGTTGTAAATAATTAACAAGTCATATCTTGAAAACCATGATGTATATCACTTGAGCAAGAGCACTTTGATATTTGGTTTCATGTTTCCCTTCTTAATGTTTTAGAAATTCTTTTGATTTAAATAAAAAATGTTACTTCTATTAGATCTCTAGGATCAAGATACTATTCTGATTGGTTTGACACGATAACAAGTCCCGTAAATTATTAAAAATTTTAATATTTGAACATTTTGCATGTGATTGGAGATGATTTAGGTGTATAAAAAAGATTGGCATGTGTTTTGGAGTGAGGTCCAAGGGTTTGGAATGTTTGTGTAAATTATATTTTAATCAAACTATTTATTTAGATTATCATTTATTATATTTTTCTAAGTCGATCAAATATTAATTTATTTGAAATTTTTCTGATTTTTCTTTGATTTTAATGAATATTTAGATTATAAATTATTCAATTATCCTTTTTTATTATTTTTTTGTATTCTCTCTCTCTATCTCTCTCTCTCTTCTTTTCTTTTGGATAATTCATTTATTATTATTATTATTATTAATATTTAAATATATGCTTTACATTAGGTTTTATCTTAATTTACTTTGATACTTAATAACTGAATTTAAGTTTGGTTATTATTTTATTTATTATATAAGAGTATACTTTAAACATTTTAATGTTATTATCCTATTTTGTTATGTATGATTTATTTAATATAATTTTAAGAATATCATATTTAAATTCTAATTGCAATACACATATTTCATTCCATAATTTTATTTAAAGTTCATATCATTATAGTGTTTAATTAAATTGAATAAGATTGGTTAGTTTTATCATTTGAAAATTATATTAAGTACAATTTAGCAAAATGTTGAGATTATGGTTTGAATTATATGATCAAGCATCCTTAAATATTTAAAGATTTTCTAGTAATAACTTATACGGGAATGTAACTAAATGCTCCTAGTTCTTTAATTAAGCAAAAATGTCTTTATGCAGTTGTAGGTCATTGAGTTGAAAAATAAATGTGGGTTTCTACAAAAACATAAGGCTTGAAATATCACTATAGAAGTATAGATATGGCTCCAAAGACCTATGGCTTCTAAGTTATAGAATACTTACTACACCAAAGCTAGTTTGGTGGTATCAGACTGTAGCACATCCATTTGGAAGAAATAGAAGCGGCTGAAATATTTTTGTTTTACTATCCACATTGTCACCACCATTCTTTGCAAAAGACAAGCAAATTATATGCAAAATAAATATATTTTGAGTAGTTATTATAAAAAGCTTATGAACTTAAATTTAATTAAAACAAAATATTAACCCTTTTTTAAGCTTCTTTAGTCGCTTCATTTGATTTTGCTTTTGAAACTTCAGTTTTGAATACCATTTTGCAAGTTTGGAGCTCATCCAAATGTGAGAGAAGGAAAGTGAATGAAGAGAGAAAGAGACGAAGAGGGACAGGGGAAAGAGAGAGATATCAATGCCCAAACACTTCTTTCATAATCTAAATATTTCCCATTCTAAAATACATTTCCCTTTTTACATAGCCATTAATGAATGGAAAGCACCACTCTAAACTTCTCCTTTTTCTAACTTTAAATAAAACTTAGTATGAAACTTCACTTGTAAGCTTTTAGTGTAAACACTCATAATGCAAATGCATAAAATGAATTTCTAAACTTTCACATATTTCATATTGAACCCAACTTACAATTACAAGTATCTAACCCACTTATTTGCTCCAACTCGACACTTATGCTAAATGCAATTAAGAGAAAGAAGAATTGAAGCAACTTTATAAAATATTAATGCAAATTCCTTGTCTATCATTGATAATGAGTGATTCGATCGATATATGATTATAGAAATACGAGTGGATTTAAGCTATTAAGATGATAATCATGTTGCCAATAATTCAAAATCATTTTTTCATTTCCATTAGAGTTTATAAATGAAGATTTGATTTGTTCAATAAATTTTTTTCCACTCATAGAATTATTATATCGATAAACTTCAATGCATGCAATTGTTTTTAAAGAACATACGATAGCTCCTCTTTTTTATTGCAAGAATTGAAAAAGATGAAGAAAAGAAGCAAAATGAGTGACCATAATTCATCACATAATTGCAATATATATATCCAACACTTGACAACAAAAATGAGCTAGCCATAGAATGTGTGTTAAGAATAGATCTATTCCATCAAGTATGATTTGCATGTTTTCAAGAAAACTTAATCTCAACACCTTTATATCTTTATCAAATTCCAACTCAAGTAAATAATAATACAAAAAATTAGCTCTATTTGTTGACCTCATTTTTATATGAGGTCTTAGGCTTCTATATCATCTCCTCCTAGCATTTATGTTTTCCCATCATAGTGTAGAAAACACCTATAGGTTTCCCTCTAGATGGATTCCCGTTGACTTAGTATTGACCAAACGTAGAGGCCCAATAAGCCTTTAAAATCCTTCCCGATGACTCTAAGTAGAATGATAGAGTTGCTCTCCTTTTCAAATTGAATATCGTTGACCCTTTAATTTAGATCGGGCCGAACTTAACTTGACCAAAACCAATTTGATTCCAAACAAGAGGTTGTAATCGAACCTCATCAAGTCGATTTGACTCGACTCGAACCCAATTCAAAATCAACAGCATCGATCAACACCGACGACTAACTCATTGAATTAATTGGAATCGTCAAATAGAAGAAATCAACTTAATCCAAATCAAACTCATTTAAATAAAAATCAAGTTCAACATTAATTGAATATGAATAAATCAAATCAATATTAATTAAATCAAAATTACCACTTTCAAAGCAATTTAGTAATTTAGAGGGTTGTTTGAGGGGGCGGTTGTCGTTTGTGTCCAACAAAATGGCAGGAGGCCTGGATAATTTTAAATATGTTGGAACATAAGACGCAGTTCACTTTCGTACCAATCAAGATGTCATAGGTTCAAATATTCGGTACCAATCAAGATGTCATAGGTTCGAATCTTTAGTGTGTGCTGTCGTGTGATGTGAATATGAATTTATCTTAATTGACTTAAATATAATAATAATAATAATAATAATAATAATAATAATAATAAATCCCAAGCATCCTTCTTCTTTATCCTTGGAGCAATCACACAAACCCCAGTTTTGCTCTCTTAGCTCTGCATGCACGATGTCCCTTTCTTCTTCGATCTAGACGCACGCAAGCTCTTCTTCCTTCGGCTATCTTGCGCGTCGGGCTCCTGGCTGACCCTCTCCCACGCTGAAATATCTCTTCTTCTTGCAAGAATAAGCTTCCTTTCTGAGATTAATTGCTGTAAGGGTTTCTTTTCATTTTCAAATGGATTAGCCATGTATTTCTGCAGCTTTCAAGATTTAATGGCTGCTCTTTATTTTCCTTAATATTTTTTTTTTTTTTTACAAAATTCCTCCTCAAATGGCTATATCTATTTCCCTTTCTTTTAAAAATCTTGATTGCAAAAGAACTCATGATGGTTGCTGTTATTATTTAGGAGGAGATTGGTGTTACGTTTTCTTACCAAAATGCTGAAATCATGAATTTCCTTTCAGTGAAACTGAATAAATAAAACTTGCTAGAGTTTCTCTTTCTTAGAAATCTATCGATGCAGATTTAATCAAGAATAAGCATTTTTTTTAAAAGAAAGGCAGCAACTGAAAATGATTTCCATTCCTTTTTCTTCTTTTCTTTCCACTTCTTTTTTTTCCTTTCATACTTGATTGAGATAAGGAGCACTAGTTATTAATGTTCCGTAAATAATTGAGATGAAGAAAAACATCAGGTTTGTTTGATGAGATCTTTTTGCTTTGACAATGATGTATTTCTCGGTGCAAATTCATGAAACTTATCAAATTTTAAGTTATTAAACACGCCAACTTACTCAATGCAACCTAAGAATCTTACCGCTCAAGCTAATTCTTTTTCTCTCCGTCTACAAAGAGTTATCATGCCCTCATCTTGGCTATGGACAAGGGTGCCACCACTAACCCTTCTCCAAAAGACTTGGCAAATAATAAATTTACAAAAACTTAAAAGAAAACAATAAATAAAACACCCTTGCATGTTGTTCTTGTGTGAAGGATGTGTTAATGTTGAACTAGAGATTGAAGTTATGAAGAATGAACTAGGAAACTTTCTTTTTTTATTTTTATTTTTTGTGGCCTAGAAAAGTTTTGCAATAAAGGGCATGCAAGTAATTGTTAATAGGCTAGGTGAGATGCAGCAATGTGAATGGGAGAGAGAAGCTAAGTGTAGGGAGGGAGGTCTGGAGCTAATTGATGAGAGAGGGCGAGAGAGAAAAAAGAGGGATCAAGTGTGAGAGCAGGGTCTTTTTTTGTGCGGGGGAAATGGCGGGTTTCTATGCGAGAGATCTGTGAGCCAATGAGGCATGGGATCATGCAATTGTGATTTGCGTTTGACATGTATGGATATGGGAGTAAAAGGGATGGCAACATGTGACATTCTTCAAGAATCAATCTAGTTAAACATGATTTATTTTAGTTTGAATGGTCTAAAGAACCCTAAACATAATCAATAAATGTCATATTCTTGTAAAGGTTGTACAATCAATTTACTTTATTTATGATATTAATTGAGCTTTAAGTATAAGCAGGAGAGTTTTTCAAACTATGATATTATTAGATGAAAAAAAAAAGTATAAGCAGGAGAGTTATTTAAACACAAACATTGGAAGATGAAAATGTGCGGCTATAGCATCTTAATTAGGTTAACTATACCTTAATTAGGCTAGTTTAGCTTTGACAAAGTCAATTCAAGCACCAATATTATAATTGAGTAACCTAACTATCAATTAAATATGTGAAATTAGGGTTTTAGTGTCCTTCATTAACACCATGGATGATTAATCGTATTCAATTGAACTCTATCTCGAGGTAAATAATTTACTCCAACAACAACGACAACAACAACAACCCTTTATCCCACTAGAGGTAAATAATTTACTCCAAATGAATAAAATGTGTGGCTATAGCAGGGTGCATTCTTTGTGCGCTTCTTAGAAGAATCTTAACTCCACCAAAACATACTCGTAAAAAGTACTTAGCTTTATTTTTGCAAAATCTGATTTAAAGTGCAATATGCATGGGATTTATTTTAGCTCTTAGGTTTATTAAACCAATGCATATTTATGCCAACTTAGCTATTAGAGGTTGTTGAATTGACTAGGGACAAAGGAAGCATGGTTGCTAATTCATCTCTAGGCTTGTTGAACTAATAAGAAGCTAATTTGTTTCTTGGACTTACTAAAAAGCTAACTATATGCCAACTTAGCTACTTTGACTTGTCGAATTGACATGGCAACCTGACCTAAAGCTTGTGAGTTGAGAATGGTAGTTCGACCTTTATTCATATTGAACTGGAACTCGATAGTTAAGCTCATTATTGGACCCATTGAGCATAAGATTTGTAATCGACTCATATGTTGGAGCCTATTGATTTAACAATATAACTCGATCGGTTTGTGAGCTAATGATGCTAGCTTGACCTTTAAGGCTAGTTGAAATGAATTGGGAATAGTAGGTGCATGTATTTGTTGAATCAATGAATGTGTATGCAATCTCAACTATTGGAACTTTTTGAATTGAAATGGTAGTTCGACACTTAGGCTTGTGAGCTAAAAAGTTTCACCCAATCTACTCTTACGCTTATTAAATTGACCTTTAAGCTTATTGAACTAGCAAGATTGAGATTATTTGGTCCTTGAACATCTTGAACCATCAATAGTGTCGACACATCTAGTAGAGCCTAATAAATTGGCATGGCAATTCGACCTTCAAGATGGGGAGCTTAGGGTGCAAGTGGGAAAAAAGGTAACATCGGAAATCATATCATGAGGGTTTTTTAATGGACACATTGTTAGTAGAAGGCATAGGAACATGTTGAACCACACTTAAAACAGAGATAAATTTCAAAATTTAAAATCCATGGCCATATGATTCTTATTCTAATTTTAATGTTTTATTAATAAATTTTTTTTGAAGTAAATAAAATAGGACATCAAAATGAAGGAAGATGAGCATCCAGTTGCTTCAACAAACGCAAGTGGCATTTCACTAATAGAAACGTCCAAGCATTTTTTTTAATATAGCCATTATAAAAAAAATGCTCTAATTGAGATGTCCAAGTGTTAGTCATTATACTTAGTTTGGATTAGGTTAGTAGTTAATATGTAGTTAAGGGTCATTGTGGGTTGAAATAGTGTCATTATAATCTATAAATACAAGTAAATTTAGAAGAATATGTAATTAAATGAATTGAGCATTCCCTTTCTTATTCCTTCTCTATTTTTTTTAGCTGTAACCTAAAATTGCCTATTATCCTTTCATTTCACTTAAGTAACCCTTATTTTCTCCTTCTTCCTCAATGATTTTCCACTTACATTAGCTGCTGAATCAAAACAACATAACATTTTCTATGTATAACACTTGTCAGTTCCAAAAGCATATATTACTTGGTGTTCTCATTGAGCCTCATTGCCAGATGCTCAATTGTCATCAACATGCTCAATCGCTGTCTCTGAGCTTTGTCACATCTTCAAACTCCATCACATCTTCCAAAGCATTCACCCTCGACCCCAACCACGACTTCTTCCAATACCCTTTGCTCTGATGGGTCAATACCCTCTAGTCCTCTACTCTGATGACACCTTCCAAATTTACGGTCTGCTAGCCTCATCACATCTCCAACATCCAAATTCTTAGAACATATCAACAACAGTTCATGGCAACTGGCACTGGTTTGGAAGAGGGTTAATGGGTAAGACACAACAATCATGATGATAAATTAGTCTGTCCTTGCTACCATAAAGGTTATTAGAGTGATTGACAAATCAAGTAGAGAGTTTTGAACAACATTATCAAAATGAATTATTAGCAACACCAATAGATTCCACATTCACGGTTGTTCTTTCAACAACAACAAAAAAAAAGGATCAGGCAAAATCCATTATCACTTAGGTAAATCATCAGGTTATGTTGTTTGATGAATGTGAGAAACTCGTAAATAAAATATTCTTAAAGAATGATAAGATAGCTAAATCAGGCGGAACACTTCCCTTTGAAAATCATATTATGTACATCCAAAGTCCAGATAAAAACAAGAAGCTGTTAGCGAAGTTAAATAAGTCAATTGTAGAACTCGAGTTATAAGAAGGGAAGTTATGTGTGGAAGGGAATGTCTCATACATAGCGCGGATGACTCAAACATCGAAGGATCATTCTAAGAAAGGCATAAATAGTTACAATTAAAGAATTGGTAGCTTCATCAAATCTATTAATACAAACATTTATGATGTCTGTCATATTTTATTAGTTCTCATGGAGCCAAGTCTTGAAGGGAGCCTTATCTTATAGGATATGCTTGAGAAATTATAGTTAGACAAATGGTCGCTGCCTCCATTACTACCAGGGGATTAATGTGAGTTATGACAGACAGTCATCCATCGTCTATAACATTTTTAATGGTCTAACCTGTGCTTCATGACTAAAAGATAATTTTTGGGTTTCCTACTTGATTATTTGCTTGTCCTATCTCAAAGTTTGATCTTGATGGCTAGGTTAATTTTGAAGAGATGGGGAAATGATAGTAATGTGCTAGTGCTAATAATTATAATAAGTAGTTTGGGTTGGGTTGGTGGTTAATGAGTCATTATGGGTTGAAATAGCTCCAATAGTCAATAAATATTCCCAACTAGGGAATAAGTATCAAAATAAAATGATATAAGTATTCCCTCTATTATTCTCTATTTCCTCTCTAATTTTTTTAAGATGTATGCATTCCCACATTGCCTAATTATCTATTCATTTCTCTTCCTTAATCCATACATTTCCCTTTCTTATTTTCAACCTATAGTAGTTAATAGATCAAAAGAAAGTTAAATATACTATGTATGGCAACCACCAATTCTAGAAATGTGTTTCAATGAATGAGAGAAATGAAGAGCTACAAAGGTGCCTCTCTTGAAACAATCGAAGATTTGATTATATATGTGACATGAGGGAAGAAAAGACAAATCAAATTTAGGGCTTTGATATTTTTGCAGTCTCCTAAGAGAGGAAACTAATCAATAAAGCATCATTTTTTGGGCTAAAATACAAATAATTTTTTCATTCATACATTTAAAAAAAATAAATAGATAAAAAAGTTAATTATAATAAATTTAAATTTAATTTGATAATTTTATTTAAGTTATCACAGCAAGGGACATGGGACAATACATCTTGTAGGCCCAAAACCCCCTGGTTGACTTGGAAAAATTTACTTCACCTCATCCTCTAAGG